GACCTAATGCCTGGAGCTACAACTTGTTGAGACAATAAGGCGAGGCCAGGGGAACTGCAGAGATGATGGCTCTAACACTAGTAAGCTGCTGAAACAACAGCAGAGGCTGCCAAAGTTCAGAAGGACAGAACAACCTTCTATGAGATAAAACTACTGTTGCTTCATTTTTCTGTTTCTTGCACCGAAAGTATTCCTTCAGGAAACTGAATTCCAAATAGGTAAAATGATTTAATGAAAGTCATGCAGCTAAATTACCTGCAGAGTAAGGTCTGGGATCCAAGAATAGAGACTCCCAACTAAACTCTCCCTCCACAACACAGCGCCTCCGGAGAGGGCATTTTGCTACAACTGCAAGTGAACATGGGTTGAGCTGACTCACGAGCCCTCTGCCTAACTTGGTTTTGGTGAGAAAAGTTGGAGAAGCACTTAAGGAGAAGAAAACATAAGAAAGCTTAAGTCCATATCATATAACATAGTTTATACTCTCACTATGTGGAACTAAGATAAAGATTCGTTTCCTTCTTTCCCTCAAAGCCAATGCTTATATTTATTTAAACTCTTCAAAACATTGACTTAAAAATGGAGGAAGTTTGAACCTTGAGTCTAGTCTAAATTCTCTGCCTATTTCTAGGCATGAGAGAGTGAGGAGAAAAATAATGCTGCTTAAACTGACAGTCCCCTCCTTAATCAGGAAATGGTCAAAGTCCCCTCTTTATCAGTTGGCCTGGTTTATCAGGATGGTTTGCTAAAGCTACTATGGGAACAAAATCCAGGACAAGAGGAAACACAAATCCTTTCCCCAAACTTACTAGAAATGGAACGGACTGCCCACAGAGGATTGATGATGGGGGCAGGAGAGAAATGACATCTGTGTGGAATCTGGACTTTGGCCAATGAGTATATGGTATAAAAAAAAAAAAGGGAGAGCTAAATCGCTGGGGATGAAGGGCATTTGAAAGAAGCCTTAGAAGGGGTGAGTTAGAGGGACTCTTGGTAACACAACTAGGAGATATCTGAGCAACATGTCTGCAGGCTGGGGCTTGTTGAAAAAGAAGATAATGAAAAACGTTTCGAGGACAGAAGGACTAAAGGCTTTTTAACAATGTGGATGTCTACCGCTGTGTTCCATTTTTAAGTTATGTCATGCTGTGCAGAGAAATTGCCTCTTGTATCCTACCTGAACATTTGGGAGAGGTGTGCTACAAACATGTCATTAAATTGATGGCACTGTAAAGAGTGGGGGACATGATATTAACAAAGCCCCAGAAGACCCCAGCATTTCTGAGAGCCACGTGTTTCATAACCTAAGGCTGGAACAGTCATGAGAGGATGAGAGGAAAGACACACAATCTCCCCAAGTATACTAGAAGGAGAGTGCCTGCCCAGGGAGGAGGATGATGGGGAGTGGGAGGGAGGCTGACATCTGGGTGGAATCTGGATGACTTTGGCCCATCAAACAACATCTCTGGGCCTCACAGCTTTCATGTTAAAATAGAGGGCTATCACTAATGATTTCTAAGGTCCCTTTGAGTTCTGAAGCTCTGTAAACTTACCACTCTCCTGCTCTATCTAATGGCAAGCAAGGACGTTTCCAAAGCTTAGTCGGGATTAAAGCCTGGAGATCAAGTTCAGAGAATGCAGGCAGAAACAGGCAGGATCCAGAGGGCAAAACCATAGTACAGAGTTTGGAATCTCAAACTTCCAAAAAGCAGGAGTGAGGCAGGGATCAGTCTAGGAAACCAGCAAATGAAGGGATCACCTCGAGGAAAAGAGTTAATGCAATAATTGGTCAGGAACCCAAGCCAGGGTCTTGATGACAGCAATGGGCACTAGAGGTGAAATGAATATTAATGTAAGCATCTCTAAAATATGTCCCCAGCCATTTAATCATTTCCCAGGGAAAGGCTCTCCATTAGCTACAGCAGAAAATCACCTAGCAAAAGAGGAAAAACACTGCAGGGAAAATAAATGGCGTAAGTCATTCTCTTTCATCTCCAGGTAGGCGCCACTGAAGGCATAAAACAGCAATACTTTCAAATACTCATATATTCATTCCATACCTATAAAAATATCCCTCTGTCTCAAAGGGAAGGTGTGGGCTCTCCTAGCACCTTGAGTTAAGGGGAGGCTGAAACAGATGTACAGCAAGTTAATGGGTTGGTTTTGCACCTGCATTGTCCTCTCTTCCTGCAGTTGGATTCCAGGGGATGTTTAGCATAATATACATCAATGGCTCTCTCTCTGTCCTCCAGTAGATCAGCAGGAAGGGGATATTTACAACTGAATAGCAGTCAGTACCGGGTCCTATGGAGCAGAACTGCTGCAGTCAGTTCATTATTTACAGTTCCAACAACAGAGCTCATTGTTCCCATTGTGGATTCTCAGCTGTCCTGGCGAGTAAGCAGTCCCAGAAAGGCTTCAGCGAGGACCCCCAAATGCTAATGACTCTCTGAGTAACCAGATTGACCTTACATATAGACAGGGCAAGCAACTCCTAATGTGGTGTGATTTCAGGGCCCTCTGAAGACCCTGGGATCAAAAATATCTGCTACTGCCTGCTGCTTGATCCGCTGCCTGAAAATCATCTTCTGTGGAATTGTCTCCCTTTGAGTCAAAATACTGTTCCCTGTTCAAAAACAAATGCATTTCAAGCCAGTATAACCTATTAACATCTTAGTGAAAATTCACCAAAACTGTCTTATTTTAAACCACAAATTTTCTGAATTGGGCAGGTGCATAGTGATTCTGCAGAATAGGCATTAGGGAGCAAGGGATGGTCCACAGACCAAATCTAGCCCATCACCTGCTATTAGAAAGAAAGAAAGTCTGATTGGAACACAGCTATACTCTTTTGTTTACATATTGCCTGTGCCAGGGTTGAATAGCTGCGACACAGGTTGTACGGCCCACAAAGACTAAAATATTTACACTCTGGCCCTTTGTAGAAAAAGCTTGCCAACGCTTGATATACTAGAACCCTCTCATCAGGAAACTGAGGCCCAGAGAGGGCAAGAGACATGACCAAAACCATGGGAGTTACTCCTGGCAGAGCTGAATCTCAGCCATATCTCTGGACTCCACCTTATTGCTCCTTCCATGATGCCATGTTGTCTCTTAGAGTTGTCTGTAAAATAAAAAGAAACAGGCCTCAGAATGAAGGCAGGCCTGAGGGGCTCTCCTGCGAACAAAGCACAGAAACATACGGCCCATGGATTTTGTGAGTCAGTTTGCTTACTCACTGGGGTTTTGAGCTATTTTGCAGTTGGGCACTGTTGGTAGATCGTGAGTTTCCACTGCAGTGTTATCAAGGATCCGGAGGTTGGAGAGTCACCTCTATACATCAAATTGAAAAGCTGTACATTGGGGAATCTTTCCTTTAACATTTGACCGTGGTCCCCTGATCAGGGCTCATAGAATCAGAGAAAATCTTCTGGTACAGTGTTGTGTTATGAGTGTGTATTCTAAACGACTCAACTTGTTTCAGAAAAATAAAAACTCGTGCAGAGATTTTACCTACTGAGATTATTTCAATAGGTAAAATGTATAAAATTAGAGACATTTTAGCAGGTTTTCCTCATGTGGATGTCCTTAAGGACCTAAACAGAAACATAGAACCCTACGTATCACTTTGAGAAAATTCTAACTTATTCTAATTGTTACCTGAGTCTACATTGTCCCAAATATATCCATACCCATTTGACTCCGGGGAGAATGAACTCATTCATTCACCACACCACACATGTCCACCCTATTGTTATGCTGATCTTACTACTAGAAAATTCCCTTACTTTGAACCCAAATATCCCTCCCAATAACTTCTTTTATATTCTTCTCTTCCTCAATCTTCTGTGTTTTACTATTCACAGTGTGGTCCTTGGACAAGCAGCAAGGGCATCAGCTTAGAAGATGCTCAAAATTCAGAATCTTGAGCTCCATCACAGATTTAAAGAATAAGAATTTGCATTTTGACGGAATCCTCAAGGGATTTATTTGTATAATAAAGTTGAAGCACAATAGACTGTCAAAAATTTCTAGAAAAAGCTTCTAAAAATACTACTTTCAATTAAGTATGAATGACTAGTATTTGGATGATATTTCTCTAATTTAGGAATTGAATTACAGGTAGAAGCGTAGGTCATTTTTGGATAAATTATTCAGTTCTTTGACCTAATTTTGATTTCAAATACTTGATTTTTCCACATGAAATAATAATAACAGCCTATATCTGTATATAATCCTTTCCAGTTTATAGCTCTCACATGAAACCACAATTCCTAACTCTGCCCTATGCAACTGACGCTGAATTTTTTTTCTGAATAGCTTTCAAATAGGAAAAAAAGTAGGATCAATGGATGAAAATTCCAGCGATGCAGATTTTGCTTCATTTAGGAAAACTTCAATTATCAGAATGCCTCAAATAGAATGGACTGCTTTACGTTGTGGGAGCCTCCTGGGAGGAATCAAGCATCAGCTAAGTGATTGTACATCTTGGAAAAGATGGTGAAAGGAGATTCCAGCAGACTTGGGCAGTCAACCTGCTGCACTGTTAAGATTCCTCCCTAGTTCAAACATGCTATGATTCAATGTCTATTTTTATGATGAATTATTAATATATACTACTGGTTTGTACACATCAAAAGAAATATAGCATCCCAGATCTCAGTCTCTATAAACTAAAAAGCATAGAGAAATCTTTTTAAAAAGAGAGAGAGAGGCAAAAAGAGAAAACGCAAACTCGCCGTTCTTATTATTCCCATCCCATTCCTGGGATTTACCTCCACACATATCCCCATTCACCTATTTCACTTCCCAAGTACTAGGCAAATTACAATTATAAATGCAATTCAAAAATAATAAAAATTTTTATAAGATGCTAACACATGGAAACTATTCAACAGAAAGATTTTCATCCTAAACTGCCTTAAATATCAGACCACTACTACCCCAGTATAGTTCAAACACAATAAAAGAATAAAATGAACGTATACCTCCAGGGGACATTGACATTTTTGCAAGAGAAAGAATGACACTTTAGCCCCTTCTTCGCTTACTAGCTTCCTCTTGTTGCATTTTGATTTCAATGGGAATGTTTCAATCTCCTAAATGTCTGAGCTGTCCCACTAAGTAGGCCAGGTATGAGGAGAACTGTTTCTGAAAGGAGTATGTAAAGATGGGTGGTCCAAGGTGGTGTTAAATGCCAAGAGATGTCTTGAAGACACTGTGACAAAGGGGGAAAACCAAAATTTTCAGTAATCTGTTAGTTCGACTATCCGACATCACCACTTTTGCAGGTCAAAAAAGGTTGAAAGTTGGCAAGTTCACATGGTTCAAATCTGATAAACGGAAAAAGGGTTAGAGATTGACTTTGAGGATGCATTTGGATAGAATCTACACAAAATTTATTTAGATTGTATGTTTATTTGAAGTGGCTTTGAGGAGGCTGATACAGTTTATGGGATACCCCAAATATTCCCAGACTTCCTGTTGTCACTACCGGGGTAATAAGTAAAATGCAGTCAAAAGCAGACACCATAAAGTAATACAATTGGAGTTGCAAAGGTGACACTGGAAAAATTTGGTTGAATTCTTAGTAACAAAGAAAGAAATAAGACGCAAGTTCTAAGCAGGTAAAGTGTGGTGTCAGGAGCTAAGGATTTAACAAATTTTTTCAGACTTTCTGCTAGGATGACACATTTATCAGCATCCTAGTGTCCTCCACATGCTATAAGAGTTCCATGGTAGACTAAATGCATTAACAGGCACAATGAAGGGCCCCCTTGTATTTACACCTTTTGTCTTAAAACTTGGTAGTCCCTACCTGCTCTGAGTCTACACCAGCTAAAATCATAATGTGGCCCTACACTCTTCTAGTCTCTCTCTTGTTCAACTTGGAATCCTGCTATTGCTAGGATAACAAGGTGAAATAGGCTGCTGGAGGATGAACGTCCATATGGAGCAGAGCCTCATGTCCTAACCAAACTGCCAGCTGATCACAGATGCATGAACAAGCCTATCTGAGAAAAATCAAGCCTGGTCACGATTTGCAAAAATGTCTCACATTTCTGAAATTAATCCCACAGTCGCAGCTGATATTTTTTACTGCTTTATTCCACTATTTGTTCTTTATTCCTATGGCCTTAAGCAAGCACCTTAGTTGACAGTGGTTCCTTGCCTAGAGAAGTGACCCAAATCTTTGCTCCTAAAGAGTCTACACCATTAGCAATCTTGACTGCATTGGGTTGCTTGGTTTCCCATTGGCTTTAATCATAGGGCATGAGACTACTAAGAGGCATCCCAGAGGAACCGTTCGCATTCCAGAGTCTTGCTTACCCCCACTGTGAAGTAGCAACCTAATTCCCCTTTGATAATCAGAATCAATTATTGCAGCCAGTACACGTAACCCTGTTCTTTGCCTATTTATTACTGATATTAAAGCCCAAAGTGTCCAGAAAAGAGACTCAACTTCCATTTTAATTATTTGATTGAGCTATTGTTGTGTCTTCTGGTAAAACCGTCTTTACTTGAGAACTACCTTCTAGACCAGCAGAGCCCAAAGTTGCAGGGAGGGGAAGCAAAAATTTTTCTAACCTAGCACTTGTGGTCATAGAAGATTCACTTCTGTGGACATTTCTTATAACAAACTCTATGGATCTTGTCTATAATAGAAAAAGCACTATATATTGGTCACCGATTTAGAGCATGTAACATCCTGCATGACATTTCCTAGTCCTGCTAGGTGTTGTCACCCAGCTAGCACTGTTTCTGAGACTTCAAAAGCCATTCCACCAATCTATAAGACAAGCTGCTTCAGGGTTCTGGGGAACATGGTAAGATCAGTGAATTCCATGAGCATGGGCACACTACCATACTTCACTGGCTTTAAATGAATGACTTGATTAGAATCAAGGGTGTATGAAATACCATGACAGTGAACAAAATATTCCATAAGTCCTGGGATGTTGATTTTAGCAGAAGCATTATGAGCAGAGACAGGAAATCCATATTCCAATGAAAGCAAACTGCTGCCCCTTCCATGATGGAAATGGTCCTCTATAACCAAGTTTCTACCAGGCGTCTGGTTTATCCACTTAGAGAATGTTACCCTAACTAGGACTCAGTGTTGATATTTGTTATTGGAAGATCAGATACTTAGCAGTGAATGTAGCCAATTGGCCTTGGTAAGTAGAAAAAACTTGTTGAGCCAAAGAACGACCATCTCTAATATCCTAGCCACTTTTTCCATGAGCCCATGGGAAGAAGAATGGGGTGACTAACGTCCACAGGACCTGTCATTTTATCCACTTGATTATGAAGATCCTCCTTGCTCTTTGGTGAGCGCTTGTCTTGGAAACAAATTTATATATGTTTTCTGCCCATTTACTGAGGTCTACTCAAATACCTCTTCCCCAGACTTTCTTGTCACCAGCGTTCATCTAGAATTACTTCTGGTTCCAAATTCCGTACCTGTAAAGATTCAGCCAGACAAACAAAAATTCTAGTAGATGAAAGGTAGAATGGAAGGAAAGAACAAAGGGAATTTTAGGGATTTGCCCTTGAGCAATTGTGAAAGCTGGTTACATACTCTGCATGAAGACTCGTTTCCATGTCTGGTTCTGATGTCCAGAGAGCAGGCACCTGGGAAAAGAAGATGGACACAAAGCAGGGGAAACAAAGAGAAACTTGAATTTGCAAGAGTAAGCAGAGGGACGGACTGGAATTTGCATCAGCTGCTTGTCCCTCCAAGTTTCCAACTTAGATGGTAGAGGTGAACCTGCAGGAAGAGCTGAACACTCATGTGGCCCGGAGTCAGGACAGCTGGAGGAGGAGATCCAGTGTGAGCTGGAGGAGCTGTGGCCCAGTTGCTGCTGGTGCCAACAAGGTGATCCAGGACATAAGCAGCAACGCAGGTGCGCTGGTGCAGCAACGCAGGTGCGCTGGTACAGCACCACACGCTCCGCACCAACTTTCTGAGCACACGAAGGAAGAGGCTTCACTTCCACCTTCCACCTCTTGAGCAAAATGTCTCCTACAGCCCAAATAGACCTAGAACTATGTGACAAAGGCTGATCTGGGAAATGTGGTCCAAGCTTACCTAAGCTGACACACAATCAACTCACCACCACAGACTCTAAGTTTTTTGTTTGTTTTGTTTTCTCAAGGCAATTGCTAACTGATGCAGGCTCTCAAAGGCTTGGTCTCTGCTTGGGCCTCAAAGAATAATACATAAGGAGATCCCAGAAGTAGTATTAATTAGTTCTCTCTGGAACTTAGAAACAAAGAGCTGAGGTTATTGAATAAAATTAGTTCATAAAGATGATTTTAAAATTTAAAAATTATAAGGAATCGCTAGGAGTACAAATTAAAAAATTAGGTAAAAGTAAACCAAGATTCATGCAATAGCTTCCTTTCAAGAATTTTTAAATTTTTATATATGTTTCCTCCAAAATTTGTTCTCTCCTATTGCCTCTGTGAAAATGATTACTTTCTGCATCTGTTGGAAACCATGAATAACACCAAATCCAAATAAATGTAATGACTTTCTTTTCTTTGTGTTATTATTAAAAGGCTTGTTCTTTCTCTGTCCCTTAGTTCATGGAACATTATCCTTTTCTTTTTAATCTCAGGACCTCTTTTTATTTTGCTTAATAATTTCATATTTGGGTTTGCTTTGTCACATATCTCTAAGCTTATCCCTCCTTATCCTGCCCTAGTCCTCTAAGATGGGAGGGGAGAAGTGAAAGGATTAATCCTGGAGTTGGATGAAGATGAGTAAAAGTAAAGAGGATTACATGAAGACAGCATGGTACCAGTACTCAGCATCAGGTGGTTGAGTTTGACCTGAGCACATACCTAAATGACCTTTATGCTTTTTTAAATTCTAAGTTTTTGAACTTTCCAAATTTAAAAAATAAAGACATATCCTCAAATTCTTTTAATCTTGAAACACTAGACTTTTACATAAAGAAAACATTTTTAGGCATTTTAAAATACATTTTCCTCCCTTCTTTGCAAGAAAACTGATGAAAGAGCCTTTTCTAAAAAAGCAAGAAAATGACACTTGTTGGTCAGAATATTTTTAGCCGTAAAGAATATTATGATGAATTCTAACTACCAGGATCAATTTTATGACCATTATATTACACAGGTGAATGCATACATAAAGAGAGGAAAGGCTTTTTTCGCCCAAATATCCCAATCATTAAGTGCAAATCCTGACACTCTGAAATGGAAATAATTTGTTTGAGGGGGCCAGAAAGGGAGGCAGAGAGAATGGTAATTTTGGAAAATAAGCTTATTTGGTGGTCTGTGAAAAGGCTTTTCCTGTGTTTACTTGCTTCTGACTTTAATCCACACACCAGCCCTTGAAGACTATGGAGGGTTCTCCTTTGAAACAGCTGCTCTCTCAGGCGCCATGTGTTTGCATAATAGACCCGTGGTGAGTCCTGTAATTCTCACCAGTAGTTTATGGTGAGATAGGGCAGGGAAAGACCTGTATGGGGAGCAGCTACCAGACACACGATGTAGTGGATCTCGTGGGGCAACACCCAGATTCCCCTTCACGACTGAGGCACTCAGTGCTCCAGCTGCAGCCAGAGGCTGACAGCTCTCAGTTGGGTTCCTCTATAGTATTTGACTTCAGCCCAAGAAAGCCATCTCTATCTTACCCAGAGTAACAGCTCCTCCCAGAGGACAACTCTCATCCAATGCCTGGTACATGGTGAGGTGAGGGGATTCAGACACTTCTCCCTCACAGCATAGGAAACAAAGGCACAGCCCCAAGGCCCTACGGGATCACCAAAGCATACGCTTATGGGAAATTTCTTTTAGTCACTGTTTGTCCAAAAAGCATGCAGGTTTTACAGTCTGCCCTAGCATATGTCCATTTCACATGAAAATATTTAAATTCTTTGTTAAATAAGTTAGTATCTCCCTTCCTTAGATTTTCAGCTAAAATTGACAATCCACAAATACTCATTCTGCGGCTTATGGCCCCAGTTAAACACCAAGGGCAAGATCCCATAATGAGAAGTGCAGACCTGTGGTCACGCCTCATGGTCACTGGGTCAGGTGGAAGAGGCTGACTGGGAGCTCAGTTCTATTAGTGAGAAGAGACATGGGTATGCAGCATCCTTAAAGGCTTGCATCAGCCATGTTTTCAACAACCACAATGTTCCATTATGACATAGGAAGGATGCTTGTGAGCTGTTTCTGGATCGTATATGAAGATGTTAAATGGAGTTAGGTTTGGGTAAAAGAGGGAGCCCGGAACATCCTGATCTGTGTACTATTTTTTTTGTAATCTCTATGAGTAATTTGGTCAAAGTTGGCTTTTGCTCAGATTATGAAATTTGAAGTTTGTTTTCCAACTCCAGCCTCCCTCCACTGTCCCCTTGTTAGGCTGTTTTCCAAATTGCTATTCTCTCCCTGGATGCTTCACGCATCTGCCCCTGCCCCCCTCTGCCTCTACTTTATCCACCCTCAATACACACACACACACACACACACACACAATTCTGACACAAAGGCTGGGTAGGGGAAGCAACAGTCCATCAAACAATGGGTGAACAGACCTCCAGTTACCTCTGTGTTTGTATAACACTCTAATCTTTAGATGACATCTACATTTAGATTTAATGCCTCTTATGATCTTCTAAAGAGATGATGATGACAACAGTTCTTTATGACATGAAATTAATAAAACAGAAGGACAAAGACAGAGTGACAGAAGGTGTAACCAAAAGCAAAGCGAGAAAAGTGGAGATCTGCCTCCATTTTGTTCTACTCCCACAGCAAACCTGAGGGCAGGCCAGGGGCTCATAGTATCTCAGTTTAATGTGCTGGAAATCGAGAGCACTCTCAGAGGTTATTAATTAGCCTGTGACACAGTCACTGTGCTCTGTAGTATGTCCGAGATTCTGAATCCAAGATCTGTATGTGAGTATACCTCTCACTTCAGTTCACCTGTTTCTCAATAAATAATTGATGATGGGTTGTATATGGCATTGCCCAAGTCACTTCCTCACTCAGAATCTCATCTTTAAAGTGATGGCACTGAGCTCGATGATCTATGAGGTCTCCTTAACACTAACATTCTAAAATTCTATTATTTTTATAACATAGTTGGGACAAGCACACATATCTCTTAAATTCTCATTCTGAGTTCATTTTCCACACTACTTACAGTTCCTCCTTAGGCTCTATGAAATTCCCCCAGGCAGTGATGGATGACCACAACAGGGAGATCGGATGATGTTCACCTTACTCTGTCTACATCTGACTATGACTGATGGCAAGACACACGTTGCTTAAGATCTGATGTTATGAAGGCGGGGGTAGCTTGGCCTCTATTAGTTAGCGATCATAGTAGATGCTCTGAAATCTGTTCCTGCCTGTCCAAGGAATACACAAAGTAAGTCATCTCTTGCTCTGAACAATTTTCTAAGTATGGTTTATATCTCTAAGAAGTCAGCTAGATATTGCCCTTTTGTTGGATACTGCAAACATACAATTTTTATTTTTTTTAATTAAATTTCAAAGAGTAAAAGAGATTTAGAATGTCATTGTCCTTTTAAGTAAAATCTTCTAGTTATCTCCATGTCCAGAATGCTTAATAATAATTTAACCTTGCTCAGGAGATCACACGCAAAATTATTCCTGGTTCTTCATGGATATTTCTCTCACTAGCTTTGTCTCAGGTCATAGCTGTGGGTGATTCAAAAGTTTTTTAGTGAGTTTTCCCAGATTCTCAAATAAATGAAAAAGATGTTTCAAAGTCCAATTTTGAAAGAATAAATGAGAATGATTTTGTGGTATGAGAAGTGATATGTTTTAGTAGAGAGATTCTTAATTATTTTTAACATTCTAAATGAATAGTAAGTTTGTGCATGGAATGGCTAGTTTTCTTAAAAGAATAAAGAGGCCAGCCTGATGGTGTATTGGTTAAGTTCATGTGCTCCACTTTGGCGGCCCTGGGTTTGTGGGCATAGATCTACACACTACTTATCAAGCCATGCTGTGGCAGCATCCCACATACAAAATAGAGTAAGATTGGCATAGATGTTAGCTCAGGGTCAATCTTCCTCACAAAAAATTTTTAAAAAGTTAACATCATGCTCTATTTGCTTCAAAAGTGTTTTAAAGTAATAAAATACTTCCAGTCAAGCTGAGACCTTCTCAGGACCTCTTCTCTTCCTTGCTTCCTCAGAGGTAGCTACTTTTCTGATCTTGGTTTTTATCCCTTAATAATGTATGGTCCTGTTTTGCATTCTTATAAGCTTAGTATTAATGACGCATTCTCCATACTAGCAGGCAGTATTGCTTAGAGCCCAGATTGGAGTCAGACTGCCACTGCAAGCTATGTGACCTTAGATACATTGCTTAACTTCCTCATTTTTAAATATGGATCTAATGCTATTTATCATTTCATAAGATTGCTGGGAATCTTGAATGAGGAAATACACATAAAGCACTTCAAACAGTGCCTAGTATCCATTAAATATTCAGTAAGTTTTCAGTTTCTTAAGTAGCACTGTATAGCATAGCTTTATCTCTCAGCATTATTTCTTCAGATTTACTCACTTTAGCTCATTCAAGTTCATTTTAAGTCCATTATTTGACTGTATTTTAGGTTATCCATTCTCCTATTGAAGCGTATTGAAATAAATTTACAATTTTATACTATTATGAACAATGCAGCCATGAACTTTTTGGTTCATGTTTCCACAATCCATGCAAATGAATTTCTCTAGGGTTTATACTTAGAAGGAGAACTATTACACCTTCATTTTTGCCAGATGGTGTCAAATAGCTCACCAGCTTGTTCCTCTAAGTTAGGAACTTTTAGCATGCTTTGGAATCCCAGGAGGGCTTGTTCAAATGCAGATCGCTGGTCCCCAAGCCTGGAGTTCTGATTCAGTGGGTCTGGGATGAGGTCTGAGAATATGCCTTTCTAACAATTTCTCAGGCAATGCTGACTCTACTGGTCTGGAGACCACACTTGGAGAACCACTGCTCTAAGTGATTGTGTAAATTTACACTTCTGTCAGCCATTTTATGATTTTTTAAATCTTTATGAACACTTGGCACTGTCAGATTTTTCAATTGTTTTCAATTTGTTACGAGTTAAATGGCATCTCTTTGTGGTTTTAATGTGGTTTTACTCTGATTGTTAATGAGATGGAGTGTTCTTTTGTTTGGTCATTGGTGATGCATAGTGGACCTCCTATGAATTGTCAGTAGTACACTGCTGACTAGAAGTGAGGAGAGTGAGTATTTCTGTCAATAATAATGGTCCTAGTTAATGTAATAAGACAAGAAAAGAAATTAAGGATATAATAATTACAAAGGGAGCTAAAGTTCTCTTATTTGTCTATACAGACAATCAAAGAGTCAATAGATAAACTAAGATAATTCAACAAGGTTACTGAATAAAAGATCTACATATAAAATTCAACAGAGTTTGTATATACTATAAAATAATTAGAAAATGCAAAGAAATATAAGATTCCATATAGAGTAGCAATAAACATAAGGTAAGAACTCTCATAAAAGATGTGCAAATTCTTGGGGCTGGCCCTGTGGCTGAGTGGTTAAGTTCTCACGCTCCGCTGCAGGCGGCCCAGTGTTTCGTTGGTTTGAATCCTGGGCGCGGACATGGCACTGCTCGTCAGACCACGCTGAGGCAGCGTCCCACATGCCACAACTAGAGGAACCCACAACGAAGAATACACAACTATGTACCAGGGGGCTTTGGGGAGAAAAAGGAAAAAATCAAATCAAAAAAAAAAAAAAAAAGATGTGCAAATTCTTTATGGAAAAGATTATCAAGTTTAACCACTAAGCATGTTTTCAGTCAGATTTTAATAGATATACCATAATAATGAAAGTCCATTTTTAAGAATTTTATTGTATCTTTATTTATTAAGATACTCATAAGATTTTCTCTAGAAAACCATTACTGCTAATATTATGTTTTACAGTTTCTGATGTTGAACCATCCTCACCTTTCTGGCACATTCTCTTCTTAGTAATTAGGTAATATTTGTATATACTATTTAATTCAATTTGCATTTGATTTAAAATATTTGCATCACTTCTCAAAACTGAAATTGCACATGATTATCTTGAATGTATTGTCCAGGATTGTTTTGTTATCAGTGCAATCCTGGAAAATTCTCTGCTTATGAAATCATTATTCTTGTTTTTCAGAGGATTGACAAATGAGTTTATAAAAATGTCTGGAACTAGTGTCTTTCAGAGAAGTCATTTGGTTGTCAATACAATGCCTTTAATCATTTCTGTTGTGTTTAGATTTTTGATGTTAGTCTTTAGTTAATATCAGTCATCTATATTTAGAAAATATTCCTTCTTATTTAAATTTGTAAATCTACTTTCATAATACTGTTAATAAGATTCTCTTAAGATTTAAAAAATCTATACTGTTCCTCTTTTCATTTCTAATATGTTTGTGTCTTTTCTCTGTTTTTATTGTTCAGTCTTGCTAACTTTACCTATTGTTAGCATCTCCTTTTAGTTTTATTGATAATCTCTATAGTCTCTTTGTTTTATATATTGCTAAAATATGCTTTCATTTTTATATTATTCTTTTTACCTTTTTTTTTTCCTTTTTTGAAGAAGATTAGCCCTGAGCTAACATTCGTGCCCATTTTCCTCTATTTTATATGTGGGATGCCTACCACAGCATGACTTGCCAAGAGGTGCCATGTCCGCATCCGGGATCTGAACCAGTGAACCCTGGACGCCAAAGCGGAACATGAGAACTTAACCGCTGCACCACCAGCCGGCCCCTATTCGTTTTACTTTTTTCTGCTAGAGGCCAAGACTATAATCCTTCTTAATATCTGAATGGCTGAAGCAGAGAGAGGTTAATTACTTGCCCCAAATCTTGCAATTAGTAGGATAACTAAGATCTGGACCTAGGAAAGTTGGTTCAAGAATTCATATTCTTAACCATTTTCCTGAATTGTTCAACACATATTTGTCAAATGAATAAGTGTATTCTTTCCCTAGGATTGCTGTAACAAAGTACCATAAATTGAGGTTGCTTAAAACAACAGAACTTTATTTTATCTCACAGTTCTGGAAGCTAGAAATCTAAAAATCAAGATGTCAGCAGGACCAAATTCTCTCTCAAAGA